GCGTAGGGCAGGGACACCAGGTGCTCAATCCCCTTCTTGGTGAAGAGTTCCTTGAACTCAGTAGAGAAGAAATCCGCTTCTCCGTCTATCTAGAAGCTTTTCAGCTTCAATACAGATTGACGTTTTGCCCGCTTCATACAAGCCACGAAGCAGTCAAAGGCAAGAGAGCGGAAGTCGATGTTGACAGCCCAGACATAGCGCGTGCATGCGTCGATCAAGGTCAGTGTGTAGTGGTCGCCGTCAAGTCCTTCCTGACTGAGAATCATGAAGCAGCTGTAGATTTTTTCGAGCGGCTTGTAACGTTCGTAGCCAGGAGGTAGGTTGGGGAACGGCTTGTGGGCGAGTGACGCGGTGGGGCACACGAGGCACGGTGGGTTGTCCGAAGATATAGTGAGGGTTCCGCCTCAGGGCAGCAGCAGTGCATCCGAGTCGAAAACTTCAGCAGCAATTGAATTCTTGAGTGTGGCGTGTGAGGGATGTCCAAGGCGTTGATGCCAGATCTCTGTTCCGTACGGTAGCCAACGGTCTTCTAATAGTATTTGTTTCTTTCCGCTTCGTCCCGCTGCTCCTCGTCAGGTCCTTTGTCCGTAGCGGCGTTCATGTCAGCTGCGAAGTCTCGGGCGGAAATTTGCGTCAGAATGTTATCGGGAACGCCGATGATGTCGTCCGAGTCAGCGGCGTGAACTGAATCTCCATTGACTAGCAAAGGACGTGGGAGTCGTGCCGCCTCAGGCCATTCAGAGGCTGGGAGTCCTTCCATCGGCACGCGGTGGTACAGGTATTCGTCGCCAGCGACCGGAATTAATTGAGGTCCTTGTTCCGGTGGCGGCGCTTCCTCTGTGGGTTCAGGTAACCCTGTCGCTGCCGCGAATTCGTAAGTCATTTCTTCTGACTCTTCTTGTGTTCCTTCTAGTGTGTCAGGAGCATACTGGTCTAGGAGAGGAGGTCCGCCCTAGCTTGTACCGCGCGTTGCCTAGTATGTGTCTATTTCCGCCACGGCTGCAGGCGGGAGTGCTGGCGCCTCACGATAAGGAGACCACTTCCACTCGCTTGAGGTCGAGGTTCCCCAGCCGCTTCCAGGAGCAGCTTCTTCAGATGGTGTTTCGACGACTCCCCATGCGCCGACCGTGGGGTTGGGATTGGTCCAGCTGGGCGAGGCTGGTCCCACAACTTTCCTTTCTTCGATGCTAGTTTGCTCTTTAGTTGTTGGCTCCTTGCTATGTCAGAGGTCCACTGGTGATCCCCGATTGATCCTAGGGAAGGGTTACAGGCATGGCGGCCTGGGGGGTTATGGGCGCACTCACCCGCTACACAAACAAGCCCTTTTATCCCAGTGGTTAGTGGCTGGGATTCTGACATGGTATCAGAGCGAAGGTCTCGGGTTCGATTCCCGGTGTGTGCACCTCGGGCATCCCAGTGCGGGGGGGTGTCAGAGGTCCACTGGTGATCCCCGATTGATCCTAGGGAAGGGTTACAGGCATGGCGGCCTGGGGGGTTATGGGCGCACTCACCCGCTACACAAACAAGCCCTTTTATCCCAGTGGTTAGTGGCTGGGATTCTGACATGCTAACCTCTTCTTCTTCCATCGTCGCACGGCCAGTATCACCAGGGGTAGAGGTTGAAGCGGTCGGAACAGCGCGCAGGCGAAGAAGTCCGTCAGAGGCGGGCCGTTCTAGATCCATCTCCTCCGGATGCGACCAGGTCGGGTGTTCCGTGGGAGTCGTCTTCAGCAGCAGAGTCCGGTCAGAGTCTCTAGTAGTGCCTTGAGCCGAAAAGTTCAGCACGAAGACTCCATCATCGTCGACGGCCTTGCCAATGTAAGTGTTCTTGTAAAACAACTCGAAGGCCTTGTCTTTGCAGTTGTTGCGAATGTCGACTCCGCACCGCATGAGTTGCGCCGAAGAGAGCAAGTTGTACTGTAGATCTGGAATGACCAGCACATCTCCGATGTGAATAGTGAACTTGGTATCTTCAGCCTCAAGGTAAATTTCGCCAATGTCATATGCTTTGAGTTGACCGTTCACATGGTCGCCGCATGCGCCTTGAGTTACTGATGAACATTGGTGATCCCACCATGTGTTGTATGCAGCAGCTATCAAGGTACCAGGTGTTGACGCTCTCGCAATTCTGCCGCGCAATGCCGGCAATCTTTGGAGTGACAATGCAGTCGAAGTCAGCAGTGTGCGGCGAAAGGTCAATGCATCTTTTGGCAAGGAGGCTGGGAGGTGACTCCAGAGTGCTTGGAGGGAGCTCGAAGTCAGGTGGGATATTGGTCGGTCTATCGATCCAGAGACTGAGGGTAGGGTCATTGTTTGGGCGCGATTGGTGGGTATTCAATGTCGTCAAAGTTTCGGATGCCTCTGCCATGACGCGCCATGCAGCTTAAGACTAGTCTCTTGCTTTTGTCCTTGGACGAAATGCGTACAGGAGTTTGTGAGGTGCTTACGACAGAAGGTGGCGACAAGGTCGCCTTCGCAGCTGGAGTTGCCGGGGGCACCAAGGGCTGCTGACAAGATGAGTTACTGTTGCGCCTTTCGTCAGCAGCCTTTTGCTTGTAGCACCGATCTATAGTGTGACCGGGCTTCTTGCAGTATTTGCAGAAGGTTCCCTTCTTTCCATGCTGCTCCCCTTCAGTCGCTCCTGCGAAGAACACTAATTTCTCCCGCTTGCAGTTCTTCTCATTATACAAGTCGATTTCCTTCTGCTCGGAGAGAAGAGTGGCACAAAGGGCGGACTCGGAAATGGTTGCTCGAGCACGGAGCAACGACTAGCATTGGCGCCAATCGGGTCCAAGGCCAGAGAGAACCATCGAGACGAACATGTCGTCAGGGACGGTTCCCCCACACTTCTTAATATGGTCGTGCATATTGCGGCACCGGTTGATATACGGTCCCACTTGCTCCCCCTGCTGCATTTTGACGGATGTCAGTTGACTGAGCAGACGACTCATGGTAACCGGATCTGCTGCCATGTACCGTATGAATTGCGCAGAAGTTCCCATGACAGTTGTGTAGGAGCACACTCCGTTTTATAGGAGCGGATGCCGAGCTGTTCGGAGGGGGAGAGATTTCGGAGGAGCGAAGTGTACACGAGAAGGGATTCGTGGTAGTATTGATGCTTCTCCTGGATGGTGCCTTCCGATGGAAAAGATAAACTTTCGTCGTAGTACATCAAGATCTGAGCGGTTGTTGCGAGAAGCCCAAATTCGAAACTCCACGTGTAGAAGTCTTTGCCGTCGAATGGAGTTGAAGTCTTCAGCTTTGAAGTCAGAACGAACTTAGATTGCATGGTTGCTTCTGTCTGTGCGCTATGTTAACTGTCTTGTGCAGGAGCTGAACCTTGACGGTTGTTAAAGGTAAATGATCTCTCGGAGTTGATGCGGCGGTCTTCTCCAAGGAGAGGAAGTCCAGCGGCGCCTCTGGCGTAGCTCGAGCCATCAATGCTCATGGCTTGATGGCTCTCAAGAGCGTTGATGCGAGCGACTAGCTGCTCAACGAGAGCGGCGCTGACGGAAGTCACCGCTGAAGGCGCATTAGTTGTTGCTGGTGGCGGGCCCGGAGAGTCTGTAGTGGCTTTTCTTTCAGGGGCCACGATGTAGCAGACTTGTAGTAGGTGGTTTCAATGGATGAATTTGTAAAGAGTTAGTTCTTGGGGAGAACAAGAACTTAGCAGGCCTTATAATACACTCTAGCTCTCTTACCATGCTGTTTTAACTAAAGGATCGAAGTGGACAGGATAAAGATGCTAAGTTATAGAAAAGACAATAAAGTCTTTGAGTGACCTTGTTAATAATAGTTGAAAAGAACAAGCTAAATAAGATCGAATTACAAGGAAATTAAATAGATGTCTAGCTAGCCGTGGAGTACATTCCCTTATTGCAAATGTATTGCATAACTACAGTATCTGCGACGATTGCCATTCCTTGACAGTTACCTGGTTGCATCGCATAACCTCTAATGCGGTTGTCGGTTGGTCAACAGTCACGACTGTTGACTTTCAGTGATTGTTGACCTTCGAGTGACTCTCGAGCTACCGAGTGCTCTATACGAGCATGTAGCGATACTGGTACACCAGCACTACTACGTTATGAAGTGGTGCGCTAGGCGAGAACCTTCGGAAATGCTACAACAACCTTTCGGTTATTCCAACACCCTGCCCCCTACGCTAGGGCCCCAAAGGATGGTGTTCGATTTGAATACCGTATCACCCCAGATAGTAGCACCGTCCTATTAAAAGCGCCGGTGCTTCTATCTGGAGCCATGCGCTTATGGCCGGTCCTCAATTATAAGCGCCCCCCCCTAGAAAACATTTACTTATTATAAGCGCATGTACATTGTTTATTTAAAAATCTGTTCAAAACGGTAACGGATTTCAATTTTGCAGCGAGTCAAAACTCATTTTCGCTTCGTTTGACCCCCAGCTGGCGCCAGCTGCACATGACGCCAACAACCCGCACCCTCGAGCTGGCAGTGGTCCCCCCCCAACCGAGCCCAACCCCACGCTCGGTTCGTAGACGGGTTCCGTTCGGTAACCGACGGAACCCTCGCCTGGCGCAGCCTCGCCGACGGAACCCGTCCGCGAAATTTCGCGAGCTGACGGGAGCGGCGCCCATCCACGCCACGCTGCACCGCACTCGCCTGAAAGGGCCCGTTTCGGTTCGCGCTCGAACCGGGTGACGTGTCGAACGCCCCCTCCACCACGGTGAAAGGGCCTCCCTGCTGCATGAAAGGCGCCCCACCTCATGCAGACACGCAACAGATTTCACGTCGAGGCCAATAGGGCCCCACCGCCCACTGCGAAAAGCTCCTCCTCCGGCCGTCGCGGAACGCGCGTTGCCTCGTCGCCCTTGCCCTTGCCCTTGTCTCAGTTGGGGGGGGATGTCAACGAGCTAAAGCCTGAGAGCGTTCCCATTTTGTTGCTGTTTTGTTCAAGTTTTCTCTCCCTACTCCCTAGTTTCCAACATTCCTGCTCTTCCGCGCTCCCTTCTGCTCGGCCTGCCATGGCTACTGGACCCGCATCCCAACCCGTCGTGAACGAGCCGACGGTTCGCCGCGGCCTCATCCTTACCGCAGGCGAGATCAAAGTGGAGGTGTTTGAAGATCAGTTTAACGCGATTAGCGAGGCGCCGAAGTCCGAGCTCGACGAGAAGATGGTCAACGCGAGCGTCGTGTACGTTTCTTGTCGAGCATTGTCGGTTTGACCTGTTTTCTTGTCGCTGAGTGCGCTACGTTTCCGTCCAGCCTGTTCCGTCGAGAGCTGCTGTCCGTCGAGCAGCTCTCCTAGGGGTCGATCATCACTTCGACGCGTGCGTTGGAAGAGATGGCGCATCCCACACCGGTCGCTTTTGCGGTCAACCACATCGACGGCCTGCTCTGCAAGCAAGTGATTTTCGTTCTGCTGCGGACCACGTGAGTTCGACACTCGCCCGTCGCCTTGCGTGCTCTTTTTTTTGCCATAAACCAGTGCTCACGTGCATTCGCTCTGCATGCAGCCTGACTGTGGCACCGTTCTCCCACTCGAGCCTGTTTATGGTATCGCGCCCCGACGATCTGCTGGCTCCGAGGCACCATGGCTGTTGAACTCGAATGATGCACTTCGATTCGAAGGACAACTTTCCCGCGGTGAACCACCAATCTTCGCTGGCGCAGGAAGTTCTTGTGTGAGTGATCGATTCGCCACACTGCTGTCGTCGACTTGCCGTTCTCGACCATCTGACTCTCGTGTCCGTTGCCTTGCAGTTGGATGAAGAGGCAGCTTCGAGCCGAGTACGCGACGACCCAGCAGGTTTTGACGGAGCACGAGCAGGGAGTGCTGGCCCTCATGGACATGCGTCTGGACATGATCACGAGTTTCGACAAACTGGTAAGCCCACCTTAGTCCCGAAGTGTTCTGTCGAGAATGTGTTCTGTCGCTAACGTGTGTTTTCTACCTGTCGTGGACGACGACGCCCCTATTGAGCCCCAACGAACCCGGCGCGGGAGTTCGTGTCGTGCACAGAGTGCGACGGATCCTTTCGAACTCGGACAATTTCATTCTTACGCCTCGACAGGGCGCGCTCCCGAATCTCGGGAGAACGAGCCCGGGCCCTTATACGCTTTCGTTGTTCATGGTAAAGCTGTGTTTGAGAAAGATGGAAGAGCTGGAGGAGGGAGTAGGAGGGGGAAATGTTGTGCTTGAGTATGAATACGAGGAGGAGGAGGAGGAAGAGATCGAGGATGGTACATCGAGGCAAGCTCAGCACGGGGTGAGCGGCCCGGGCGGCGATGCGGAGGGCGAGGGCTCGAGCTCGAGCTCCGGCTCGAGCTCGAGCGATGAGTCTGTCGAGCACGACGGCGGGGGCGCAGGAGAACATCCACGTGGGACGCAACGTACGGAGGAGCACGGAGTGGCGCTCGGGGAGCGGGTGGATGAGCGAGCGAAGCATATCCAGCAGCAGGCGACGGGAGACGCCGCGGCTGTCGAGGAGCAGGAGGGCGAAGCGGCTAGGCAGGAGCGTGGTGCAGGATTGCAGCAGCAGGAGGGCGCGGCGGCTGCGCAGGTGGGTGCGACCGGAGGGCAGCAACAGGAGGGCGTGACGGCTGCGCAAGGGGGTGGGGCAAGAAGGCAGGAGCAGGAGGGCCGGGATGCTATGCATGAGTGTCGTCGAGGAGATGAGCGACAGGTCGCAGTAACAAGGAGACACCGCACGGCCAGTGGCAGCGGACAGGCAGGCGCGTCGACCGGCCGCCCTTCTACGGTGGGCCATTTGACGTCGGACATTGCATCAGGAGGCCAGGTCGTCGAGCTACGGCAGAAGGTCCGGGAGGTCGAGGCGTCGCAGAAGCAGCTCGTCGCCGACGTCGTTGCGAAGCACAGCGAGCAAGCCGCAGTTTTCAACAGGCTTGCTGCGGATTTTCGGACGGCCTGGAAAACCATTTCGGAGTCGTCGAAGAGCACACTAAAGCAGTGCGCCGACGCTGTAAACAGTATCGCGGAGGAGATGAAGTTGTTGGAAGGGGCGCGGACGAAGCTCGACGAAATGAGCGGGAAGATCATCGAGGGGGTGGCAGCCGCTATCACAAAAGCGAGCGAGGACGCCGTCGAGAAGCAGCTCAAACATGTCGAGGAGCAGCTGGTTGCTTCGGTAGTGAAAGGTATCGAGAAAGCCGTCAAGGAGGACATGTTCTACTCCGGCATCCCACCCAAGACAATGAAGGAGCTGAAGGATACTGTGAGGGAAGGCTATAAAGAAGCTGAAGCTGGGAGATTGGAAATCCTCACCGAAGCGATGGCGAGAGGGTTCCAGCGCTCGGCGGGACCGTCAACGAGGTCGCATCAGGAGGGTGTGGCAGGGGTTTTCCCCGGGGCTGAGCCTCGAGTTCACGAGCGCTCGGTTCCTCCTTCTTCTTCGGTGGGAGGACATGTCGGCAGCCCGGTAGCATCTTCACCGTCGCGTGGCCGTCATCCCGTCGCCAAGTCCGTCGAGGATAACGAGGTCATCGTACTCGACCAATCGCCCCTCTCAAAGACCTCCGAAGCGGCTCCGATGCCTCCACCTGATGCGTTTGCTCCGATGCGGGACATGCTGCAGGGCCTCGGGAAAACGAGTGGGAAAGGACTGGTTGCGGGGGAGAAAAGAGCCCTGGGAAAGCGAGGTGCCCCCACCCCGTCCGGCGGCGCTGTGGGGAAAGGGACGGGAGAGACGTGCGCTGGGTTGTTGTCGCAGACAAATGCAGCATCGGCCGCGCAGAGCGGGGGTGCTGGCCGTGCTGTCGAGCTTGTGGGAAATTGGGCGTCTTCCTCTACCCCTCCAGTTGCTCCTGTCGCTGCTCCGGCCAGAGGCGACGTCCGCCTTAGTGATCCGGGTTCCCCTTCGACGTCGAAGAAGAGGCCAGCTGTGACGAAGTCGGAGAACTGTGCTGCAGAGGCGACAGAGAGCTTTGACATGGTGGGCCTCGCAAGCCTCCCTGGCCAGGCTCCTGTCGAGAAGACGTCTACCGTCGTTGCTGCTCGACAAGGAAAGTCGAAGGCCAAGGTGATTGGCTACACCCCACCTCCTCGGCCGGACGACCAAGGCAAGACTAGAGGCTGCCAAGCTCCATTCAAAGGACCGGGCTTCGGGTCGCGGAAGGGGAAGCCGGTTTCTGAGCAGACCGTTGGCGGGCGGAAGCGGTTCCTGGGCACTTTTGAAACGGATAAGGACCAGAAGTTTTGCACGGCCGTCTGCTGGCGCGTGTACTTCCCCGACATAGTGCTTACGGAATACGAAGGATTCACGACGTAAGATGAGAAGGACTGGAAGGTCTATCTCAACGAGGCCGCTAAAATGCCAACCGGCGTTTGGAGCGTGGCGCAAGAACAAGGGGAATGTCGTTTCGACGAGTGAGTTCTGTCGAAATCCGTGGTGAACGTTCTTTCAGTCGAAGTCGGGCCTCTTGATTAACACATTTGTTCCGATGTGCAGTTTCCAGTCGCTGATGGCGACGGCAAATAAGGAAGTGAGAGCTGGAACCAACTGGGGAATCGCGTTGTGTGCGGCGATTGGTAAGGTTGGGACGCTTGGCCTGAAGCACGGGAACCTGATTTATCCGGTCCCGAAGGGCATGCCGGCGACACCGCACATGATGGTCATCGCAGCAACTGTGGCGAGCTTGTGGGCGGCCTGCAGGAAGCTGTCGAGGGAAGAAATTCAGACAGATGCCCTAGCTGTCGTAAACACAGCGCACTACGCCCCGGACATGGCGACAAAGGCTAGTGCGGCAGCCATGGCCGCGCTAGTGTCCGTCCTTCTCCACGTCGGCAAGACGTTCCCGGCCAAGCAGTGGCCCGATCAGCTATATTCGTCCGCTGTCGTAGGCCTCGGATCGAATGACGCCATCCTGTTGCAGATGGTGCGCGTGGCAGCACAGGTCTGTACGCAATGGTGCTGCTGTCGAGCTGCTGCCCATTTGCTGGAGGACACGGGCTATGGCAGCCTGGCAATGCCGGAAGAAAAGAGCAAGGAGAAGCTGGGCGACGAGGATGCTGCGGAGACAGAAACGGGCGGGCAAGGGGTGTAGTATAGGCGGGCAATTTGCGTGGTGGTGTTTGCATAACTGGACAGTTGTGTTTGTTGTATCGAGAGTTTGATCGACAGAATGTGCATGTTTCATGGTTCTTGACTTTATGATTTCGATAATGCTCAATTGGTTCATCTTGTCGAGATGGTCTCACAACAACCAAAAGATGTCATGCACACCCTGAAAGAACAACCTACTCTAGGTTCCCCCCTCGTCACGGTTGCCCGTCGAACTAGGGCCCTCGCCCAATGTTTTCATGAACTCCTTCCATTTGTCTTTGAACACATTCTTCGCCCAGTCCGCGGTGCGGAGTTGGACGAGAATGAGCTCCCGCGTGATCCTGAGGCGGTCTTTGTCCTTCCGGTTTTCGTCAGCGGACTCGAATTTCCGCTTCTTCGTGAGTTGCTTCCCAGAATCCTCCTTGAGAACGAGCCCTTCCGCCAGCATGATGATCGAGTGTTTCTTTACAATTGAGTCAAGCTTGTCGATGACCGTCGACGTTGCCACGCTGCTGTCGTTGATCCGGAACAGCTCGACGGCCCTCATCACAACCTCCATCTTTCGCAATTTCGACTCGACAGCTTTTGGGGTGGGTGGCTTTTCTCTTGGCTAGTCCTCCGCTTGCTGGGGAACGGGAGGAGGAGTCGGAGTGAACTTGCTGAACTTGACGGCGAAGCCCCTTTGGTAAGCGTGTCGAAGACTGCGTCCGTTGTTCAGTGGGCTTGGCCCGTCCCAGTACGACCACGCCTAGCGCACGGTCTCGCAATTGCACCACGGCCACACCACCGCGTCGAAAAATGACTGGTCGAGCTGGTTTCCCACGCTCTGTCGAGTGGGTGCTGATTGCTGGGCTTGCTGTGGGGCCTGGGTGGCTTCCTCGGTCGCCGTCTACGGCACGCGCTCGCTCTCCCCCACATTTGCAGCTGCGCTTGTCGCCGCGGTATTCTTCAGTGCGTCGAACGCTTTCTGTAGTTGCGTGAGCACCTCTGTCTTCGCCTCCAACTCCGACTGCATCGAGCGCTTCTCCCGCTCCAATGACTCGACCTGCTTCTCGAGGTGGTTGATCCGGATTTCCCTTTTCCCTCCCTCCTTGTGGAAGTTGATCTCGGCCCGAAGTTGCGTGATGAGGTGCTTCTTGCCAAGTTGAGAGGATACGTCCTGCACACAAGATCACGAGCGGTCAGTGGGCTGATGTAAAGTATTCCGATATAGATTTGGCACGGCCATCTTACCGAAGCCCTCGACATCGTGGGGTTGGTCCACATCTCGATGCCGTACTTGTCGAGCAGGTACACGTCGAGCGCCCATTTTTGGAAATCTTCGTTCTTGCACAGACCCGACATCTGCGTGTAAGGGTGACGCTCGCATTCGCAAACGCTCACGCCGTCAAAGGGGTGGTCGTCGCAATGGACGTAGTACATCGCAAGATCCTCTGCGATGGGCAATTGGGCGGCTTGCAGGGCCTCCAAGAAACTTTTCGCTGTGTAGTACACATGTTCCTTGTCATACTCGTTGTTCCACTCCATCGCCTGATCAAGAACAAACGGGGTGACTTTGAGAGATAGACGGCCAAAACTTTGATCACAAAGGGCGCTCGACAGATCCATACCTCGATGAGCCACTGCTCCTCCTTTGGAAAGATGTGCTCCTCGATATCCTTCATTACCTTAGCAGGCACTTCGGTCTTCGATCTTCCGATGTAATAATCGCCCGGTTCCGCCGAGAAGCCCGCTTGCAGCTGGATGGCCGGGCGCGGGATGCCTGTGACGTATGACCTGCGCATCTCGTTCATGTCCCATTGACCCAGCTGCGCGATGGTGTCGAGGTCACAGTTCTTGTCGGCGAGAATCTGTGCCGCAGACCGTCGAAAGATGTGTGTGACTTTCGACAGGATCCACACCGCACTGTTCATCGCCCAGGTCACCCTTTTGTTGTGAGTCGGGTACGGCAACTCGCCCTTCTCTTTATCGAAGAGGGGGAAGAACATGTGCTTCTTCGACCACGCTTCCGGGTTGGTAAAATCCAAGGGGGGCACAATCTTTTCGTCGTCGTAGTAGAGCGGCACAAGGTCGATAGGAAGTGTATCCACAAGAAAACTGCTCCGAAGCCGCACTGCTGGAAGTCCATGTGTCGAGTCAGGTACAGGTGGCCGAGCTTGTTGTCTTTGATGGTCTTCGAGTTGCGATAGGCGACCACGAGAACGAGGATCGATGATTCCCCCGGACACTTCGTGATGGGCTGTAGGACGTGAGTGAACATGTTGCAATAGCGGATCTCGCGGATGCTGATCCCCCTGCCCAGCATGTGATGCGCCATCAGGATCATCACCCGCACAGCCAAGGACTTCCACATCGACTGACTGGGGTACGCCATCGACGACCTGAAGTACTCCTTGGCCCAGTGCGGCAGGATGTCTGAGACGAGAATGCGGAACTGCTCCTCCGTGTAAACATTGTCGAGCGAGCCCCGGTGTGGATTGACGCACCTCCTGCATTTAGTAGGCAGATACAACAATTCATGAGTGAGATTGTGACGTGAGAAGTTGTATTCGCAGGTGAAGGGATGCCTACTTACTCAAACTGAAAGTCGTGCAGCTGTCATAGCTTGACCGCTAGTAGCTGCCTAGCCTCGGTGATGTCGTCCATGGGTTTTGTGAGTGGCGCGTCGAAGAGTGTGGCCTCTACTTTGCACAAGCAAGTCAGCGCAGTAAGGCGCGCCAGCATCATCGGTGGGGTGCATTTCAACGGCTTCCTTCCCGCGACCCTGGTCCGCCCGGTATCTAAGGAAGCCGCATGTTCGTCGGTTTCAGTCGACAGGTATTCGACATACGCCCACAATCGCCATTTCGACGTTTTCGGCCCGTGCAGGCGCTCCTCGTCACGCCGCACCTCCCTCCATTCCGTCCCTTTATCATCGTCGATCTCCCTCCCGACCTCGTCCTCGTGGATCACCTGCTCCTCTTCAGGCACTCCTTGTTTTTTCCGGCTGCCAGAACTTTACAGGCCCAAGCCTTGTAGTGCATGAATCCCGAGACATAGTTTGGCCGAGTGGAATCCTAGTCGATTCCCAGCAACGGAAGCTGAAAACGGTGAATCTGGCTTTTAAGTGTTCCTGTCGCCAAGTACGGATTGTCTGCGCCCTGTTCGTCGCCGAAAATGTGTGCGGCATCCTCTTCTGATATATTTGCCGCGGCAGGTCGCAGAGGGTCCATCTCTTCGACATCGACATCGTCCGCCTCCTACTGTTCTCCCGTATCATCATCATCGTCCCTCTCTTCCGGAACGTGACTGGCTAAGTCCGCTCTGCTAGGTCTCGTCGACGAGCGCTTGGCCGCTGCTGGAGCGGCTCGAGAAGCGGATGTGCCGGCTGGTGGTGGTGGTCTAGCTTCAAGCGGAATACCACTCGCCCTCGTGCGTGTCGTCGAGCGGTTGGCTGTCGACGACGGTGCACGGTGTTGTGGAGCTTCGTGTGTTAATGGAGAGTTTGCTGTTGAGATGGGTTCTACCACTACATGTATGGATTGCGCCGTCGAAGGGACTTCGGCGTGTGCACCACCCACCTCGACATTGACCGCTGTGCCCGTCGAACAGTGGTCAGTAACAACCGGCTGAACCACTACCGGTATGGAGCGTGAGGTCGAATTGGGCGCTGTAGATACCGGAATGGCTCGAGAGGTCGAGGTGGGCGCTGTCATGACCGGTATAGCTCGTGACGTCGAAGGGGGCGCTGAAGAGACCTGCCTGGCTCGTGACGTCGAAGGGGGCGGTGTCGAGATGGATTCTATGTCGACAGGTAGCCGTCCTACGTCTGCCTGATGGGAAGGCGCTGTCCTCGGCGGATCGTTCTCCATAACTGCCTACCCCTTAGCCATCATTTCTCCCTTGCGTTGGCCTACTAGGGAGAACGGCGCACTGATGTTAATACTTAAGGTTTTGGTTTATAACGTGTTTGGGCCGTTGTTCCTCCCTCTGCAGATGCCCTGAAGACCGTGACTCATGACGTGGCCCTGTTGACGTGACCGTTTGATTGCGACTGACGTTACCCGTCGCCCATCCGACAACGGCAGTTCGCTCGACTGACGATGTGATCGGTGGACCGTGTCAAGATAGTAGGCATAGCTAGGACTAGGAAGCTAGGATTTAGCCTAGGCATGGGAGAGAAGTCCAAGCAAAAGAGGGGTTTCACTATAGAAAAGCAAGTACAAATAGTTGAGAAGCATGCCAGCAGTGGTGCACCACCACACAGTACATATATGTAGCTGCACTACAGCTAGAACTACATGCACTTATACATAATACATATGAAATATATTCTGACACACCCCCTAAGTGCATGCAGGAATAAGTTTCAGAATAACTAGGCAAGAATGAGTGCATTGAATGGAACAGTTGGGTACAAGTAGCAAACCCTAGTTGGGGTTGTACCCCATATTGGCTACCCCACTACAGCCTACCAACATATAACACATTACACTTTAACACACCCCCATAGGCAAAGTGGGGGAGAACAAAGGGTCACAAGACCAGTCCAGCAAAGCAACGCAAGCCCAGGGTGGATCACAACGTCACCACACTCCGAGCACAAGCAAAGGCCACAAGGCCAGTTCACATGCAGTGCTAGATATAGTACAAGACAAGCAACACAGTGATCAAAACCTAGCAAGCAAGCAACAAGATATATATAAAGTACAGTACAAAGAATGTCAAGCAGTGAGCAAGTGAGGAAACGTGGACACAAGGCCTAAAGAAGTACAGTGCCGCTGATGATCACTAGGCGGGAGCGCCTTGGTGAAGATATCAGCAGTGTTGGCCTTCGAGTCCACGTACACAAGCCGAAGCTGACCGCGCTGCTGAAGCTCTCGAGCAAGAAAGTAGCGAAGAGCAATGTGCTTCGTCCTGTGCTCCAGTCTGTGCTCCTGACACAAGGCAAGAGCCGCCTTGTTGTCACCGTACAGAACTGGAGGAGAACTAGGCCGCTCTCCCAAGTCAGTCAGCAGGTAGGTGAGCCAGCGTAACTCCTGTGCAGCCATGGCTGTGGCGTAGATCTCAGCCTCACAACTAGAGCCGAGAACAGAGGAAGAGCGGGTGGACCGCCACGAGACAGAACCAGAGCCAAGGCTGAAGGTGTAACCCTGTGACGACCGCTGCGTAGCCAGGTCGTCCACCCAAGAAGCGTCCGAGTGACCAGTGAGGACAACTCTGTCGCGTCCTCCAAGCACCAGCCCCATGCCTGATGTACTGCACAAGTAACGCAGCACCCTCTTAGCAGCCTCCCAGTGCTCTCGCCTGTGTCTCCCAGGCGCAACGTAACGAGCAAGGATGCTAAGAGGGTACGCGAGGTCAGGTCGCGTGCAAGTCATCAGGTACATGAGGCAGCCTACAAGCTCTGGGTACGGGCCACTCGGCTCTACGGACTCGTCCGAAGGTGGAGCTGAGAGCGAGTGGCTGGTAGCCAGAGGTGTGGCCTGTGGTGAGGAGAACTGGAAGCCGAAGCGCTGAAGGACCTGCTGCACCATGTGTGACTGAGTCAGGGTGATGGTGCGGCGAGCTCTGTCCCGGGTGATCTGCAAGCCAAGGTAGCTACGTAGTTCACCCAGGTCAGTGCAGGTGTGTCTCTTCTGCAGCTCCGACTTCACACGAGCGAGTGCCTCAGTGTCAGCAGTAGCAAAGACCAAGTCGTCGACGTACACGAGAATGTAGAACGGCGGCAGCGACGTGTCTGTGCGCAGAAACAGCGACGGGTCAGCAGTAGACGGCGCGAACCCAAGAGCCGCAAGTGTAGTCCTCAGTGTGTCGTGCCACTCACGTGGCGCCTGGCGGAGACCGTAGACTGGCCGGCGGAGGCTCCACTGGGTACCAGGGGGAAACGACCCAGTAAAGCCAGGTGGGCGGCGCAGCCAGATCTCCTCGTGCAGGCTGCCCTGCAGGAACGCTGTGCTGAAGTCAAGAGAGTGAAGCTCGTAGTCACGCTGAGCAGCAACGTGCAGCAGAACCCGAAGAGTGGTCATCTTCGGGGTGGGGGAGAAGGTCTGGAAGAAGTCGACCCCCTGACGCTGACTGAAGCCTCTAGCAACGTAACGAGCCTTGAAGACAGGCGGAGAACCTGGCGGCCGCTTCACCCTGAAAATCCACATGCCATCGACGATGTTCGCCCCAGGAGGGGGAACCTCGTCGACGTAGGTGCCTGTGGACTTCCAGGATGCCATCTCTGCGTCCATGGCTGTCTGCCACTGAGAGGAGTAGGGACCCGAGATCGCCTCTGCGTAAGTGCGCGGAGTGGGGATGTCTAGTGCATCCGGGTCTCCCTCAGGGGCAAGCAACCAGGCCACGAGATGAGGTACAGCAGCCGCGAGAGAGTCAAAGTCCTCCTGCCTGTCCTCAAGGACGTCCGTGCCAAGAGCACACTCACCCCCGACGGACGGAGGACAGACAGACGCAGACTCAGACTCAGCAACAAGGCTAGCAGCGTAGTCTAGACGACAGGCAGCAGCAAAGTCTATCAACTCAGCGACCAGAGCAGACACAGCAGAGGACTCAAAGGTAGGGTCAGTGACAACAGTAGCTAGGAGACGCGTGACAGTAGGGTGCTCAGCACGATACCGGTCAGACTCAGGGTCCGGAACGGCAGGCAAAGAGGACGCAGGAGGAGACGGCAGAGGGACACGCTGAGGAGCAGTAGACGGACGCAGAGTCATGTAGTGAGTGCCTGGGACAGGAGGAGGACGCTCACGACGGACACGACGACCAGTGCGAGCAGTACGAACAGGTGACGCAGGACGAGACTCAGGCTCACGACGCTCTGTAAGACCTCCTGTGGGACCAGTGTAAGGAGAGGGAGCAGGGAGAGGCGAGGTAGGCGGTAACTGGGACTGCGGCTGGACAGGCGGAGGACACTCTACGGAGGGAGGAGGACAAGGAGGAGGAGCCTGCCCAAGAACCTGCTGAAGGAGCGGTACGAAGTACGGTCGCGGCCGCGCAGCGTCTCCAGAAGCAGAAGAGACTCCAGCGGCCGGGTCCTCAGTACCAGCAGGAGCTCCAGCGTCCGGGTCCCCAGCACCAGCAGCAGCGCCACCGCTCGGGTCCTCAGCTCCAGCAGCAGCTCCAACGTCCGAGTCCTCAGCACCAGCAGCAGCTCCACCAGGTGGGTCCGCAGCACCAGCAGCAGCGCCACCCCCAGGGTCCGCAGCACCGCTAGGAAGAGCACCCCCAGAGTCGGCAGCTCCAACTCCGCTAGCACCGCCAGCTCCAGAGTCCCCAGCTCCAGCAGCTCCAGTCGCAGTGCTCCCAGAACAACCAGTCCCGGCAGCTCCAGTACCCCCAGTACGAGCACCCCCAGGACGAGCAGCTCCAGCACCCCCAACTCCAGCCGAGCCACTAGGACGGCGAAAGCGCCGGACGTACCAGTCACGAAGCTGCTGCGGTGTGAGAGACTGCTCAGCACCCCGAACCGGAGCACCCCCAGACGCAGTAACCCGAGGCTCCGTAGGCTCAGTAG